TCCGTGCCGCCGGCCCCGCAGCCTGGCTGGGTAACCCCAACGCTCCTTAGGCACAGGGCGAGCGAGAGGCGCAAGCGTAAGGCAGCACAGCGAGGGGGTGATAGGCACTTGGGGGAATCGTTAGGCACGGGAGGGAAAGTCATCGGACAGGAGAGAGACCGTAAGGAATAAACCTACACCTTCAGGACAGTAAAGCAGCCCAGGGATTTCTTGTTTGCACCTTCCGTGAGCCACTGACAGCACAAGGAAAACCAAACGCCCCATGAGTCTGAGGGAAACGGAGCGGGACCGCATCCGGCGTGGTGGCGGTTCCCGCTGCGGGCAAGCCCAGGTACCGATGCCAACCGGCGGAAGCCCGCTGCCCGGCGCTGGGTGAGAGGCAGGGCCCACGCCGGGAGAGCTGGCAGGGGCTCACGCAGCCCCGCTTCTGCAGCCAGAAACCCCACTTTGTGCTCGGCCTGAGTGAGGTCAGCGTGAGCTGGCTGCATGTGCTACACCCACGCAGCCGGGCTCGCAGATCCACCACGCTTCTCCGTGGAGACACGAGGGAGACACGTGCTGCCCTGGCATCCAGCTGGATTTTTTTATCCTGGTAACAACTTGTAGACACAGCGCAGGAGCCAAACAGACTTGTGCCAACACCCAGGTGTCACTGGCACCAATAGCCCCCTGAGGAGGTGCACGGAGAGGAGCCACGACCACATCCATGCAGCCCCATCCACCTGCAGGTCTGCCCCCCTGCCTCGCTGCCTGCGCCGACCCCCAGCTCCCCAGGGCTGACCTGCTGGGGACACTGGTCGCTGTCACCCAGCCAAGGCAGCTCCCTTCCCTCCGGCTTCCCGGCAAGCTGGCAGCCGGGGGTGTCCCTCCAGCTGCATAAGCCAGGTCTCTTCTCCCCACCTCGACCTGCCGTGCCCTGGCAACACGGAGCTGCCTGCAACGCGGGCCACTGCCACGCTACATCTGCTCTGACTGTCCTCAAACCTCACCTAAACTGCCCTGACTCTACAACTTGTGTGCTCAGCAATTAAACCCCGCAGTCCGCGGGCACGGCAGGCGATCTGATTTTGATGATGAGATAAAGCAGGGACCTACAGCATGAAGCCAGATAGCGACAAGGCTGGGGCTTGCTCCTGAGCCCACGTTTGCCACTTGGGTAACTCTACCACACATTATCAGGTGTCAGCATGCTGGAAAGAGCCCAGCATGAAGTCTCGCTTCTTGCCAGCCTGGAAAAAACACGGGAGGCACGTGCCGTGCATCTGTGGAAATCAGGTACCAGCTCCCAGCAGCTGTCTAACGGCCACGAGATGAATTAAGGTGATGATCAGCGGAGTGATTTGGTTTGAGTAGCAGGGCTTTAGTCTGAACATGTTCCTACTTGGTTACACATTTCATTCACAGGCAGATGTCAAGCTGGATGTTGCTAGGAGATCGACAGCAGGGGAATAATTAAGTCTGATTAAATCCTATCATATTGCTGTGCTGCTTTCCAGAATATGCTGGAGCTTTTCAAAGCCAAACTGACCAAATGAAAGGGCAAGACCTGCAGCCCATCCTGCTCGACAAAAACCCACTTGTGGTCGACCCGCTGAACCTTGGGGCAGTGCCTGCAGCTGCCCATGTGTCTGCAGAGCATTTCCTGCAGCAGCGCTGGCCACGAGCTGCAAAAAGAAGGCTCTGGCACAGGGCATGGCTGGTGGCTGCGTTGGCTGGTAAATCAGGACTGTTGGTGCCTGGAGCAGGTGGTCGGGGGTCCTACACCCCATGTCCCTTCATCAACCCTGCACGTTGCTTGGGGTGCTCACGTTGGGCTGGGAATAACGTGGTGCCCTCGGCACATACGGCGTGCCCGGGTCAAAGCTGTGCAAGGGGCCAGGTGCTTGCTCAGCCCCTCACGTCCCCAGCAGGACTTGGGAAAGTGGGGGTGACCATCCGCCAGGTTTCCTCCTTCCCTCGCTCTGGAAGGAGCCCACCTGGGGCATGCCAAAATTGTTCTGCAAACACACCTCACGCGTGGTGCTGAGCACCACAGGGCGTTCCCACTGCAATGATGCCTGCTTCCTTTTCTTCTTTCATGGTGGCTGAGCCGTGCATTATACGAGGTGACACATAAAGGTAAATAACAGCTATAGGTCCTTTTCCCATGAGTAAATAAAGTTACGCTGTAACTATCTGCATCGGTTGCCAAACACACGCACGTCAGCCCCCAGGCTCCCTCCGTAGTGAGACTGCTAATCTCGTTTTGACTCTCTGCCCTACACAAATTCTCATTCTAATACTCACACTGTAATCCTTCCCCCCAAATTACGTGTCATCAAATGAGACCTGATACTAATTAACATAGTATTTTATTATTAATTAAATACCACTAAATACCAGAGGAAAGATCTCTTTCCAGTAAAGGCTAGATAGAGATTACCTCTGCTGATGCACAGGCTTGGGGAATGCAATCTGGGCTGTAACACACTCATATTTTGTCTTTGTTTCTCTGGCCAAACTTGTTTCATCTCACACACTCATTACATATTATTCTTAAACACAGGCTCTGAGCTCTGAGCGTCACCGGTTTGTGGACAGCACTTTACATTTCTGGTGCTCTGGCTACTCTAAGACCGAAATGTTAAACCGCATCAGCAGCAGTCCCACACAAAACAAGCTAAAACAAGCTGAACTTGGCTGAAAAATTCTGCCACCCTCCAGATGTTTTCAACAGCAAAGAGCCACACTTACCTCTGCGGGCACAGGTAAATATCCAGAGCCTGCCCAAACAGCTCCCCGAGCGCGCTGCCCAACCAGACCTCGTTTCCCAGGGTCTTCCTCAGCCGAAACGGTCCCACGGTCCTGCCTGACACCCGGCTGCGCGAGCGCGAGCAGCCGGCCAGCACACCACTCAGCCGTCCACCTCCTTGTATGAATTCCAATAAGCTATGTTTGGTTCACGCATATTTTCCAGGAAAGGAGGTAGGCTTGATTTGAAGACAAGCGTTGGAGACTCCCACCTTTCTGCGTCTGTTTCAAGAGTCCCTCACCCTCACGTTCAGAAGAGCATCCCACATCCCCGTGTCTGGCTTCAGCTTGCAGACGTACCATTTTGTTCCGCCTTCTGCTTGATTAAAGAGCCCTTCAGAGCCTGGCATTTTCTCTTTGTGACATGACACATATGCTGCAAGCAACCCCCTCTCATCCATCTTTCCAATAAGCTAAATATACTGAGTTGCTTAATTCTCCTACTGCCAGGCTTTTCCTCCCACCCTCAAGCCATTTTTTGCATTTCTGCTCTACACAGTCTCTCTGATTTTCCTGAGTCCTTTTCAAGATGCAGAATCCCACAAGGAGCCCCCCGAATGCTTTGACACAATGATTAAATCATTCCTATTCTCTGCCTCAAAGGGCTGCACTGGTCCTTTCTACCATAACAGCAGACTAAGCATCCAGGCAGGACTGTCCCAGATCTTTTCCAGACCTGCTGCTGGCAGGTCAGAGCCGCCTGGGCTGGCCAGCACGTGTCGCAGCTGCACAGCCAGGACCCTGATGCATGGAGCTGGGTGCTGGGGGACACCCGCACTCCCACACATCTCCCTGTCCCACTCCCTGTCCTGGGACTGGCAGGTGGGAGCAAGGTTTGCTGAGCCCTGGCGAGAAGATGTCCCGGCTCGCGGTGGGTTACTGTGTTGTGAGATAGAGGAGAGCACAGAACCAAGCAGTGCCTGCTGGCACCCAGGCTGGTTTGAGCCTGATGCCAGGGGAAACGTTTCGCAACGCCTCTTAACATTTTACCCAGCCTGCTCTCAGTGACAGCAGTCACTGAGGAATCTGGTGCTCTGCCTCGTTACTGGGCTGCACACCGTGAAAACAGCCTCTCAGAGATGATAAGCTGGGTGGAGTTTCCATCTTTAATCCTGTTCCTTAAAGAAACCCTCTCAAATAGTCT